ATAACCATACTTTAATATCGATTTTAATTTGGATCACGAGGGAAATAAATTCCTTTGAGTGACCGATAGTTGATTTTGTTTATGTATTATTATTAACGTATGGTTATGATGAATGAATAATGAATTGTTTTTTTTTTTATAGTGGATATTTGCTTTGAATAAGTCCATGCGTCGATATTTGGCACAATTTTTATCGAATTCTTTAGCCATCATCTAATTCGATCATATCAACATTTTTAGTGGAGTTCACATTATACTTTTTAAACGCAACTTTCGACTTCATGGACCAACTTAATCTATCACGCGCGTCACATAAAACTTGTTCCGGTGTAAGATCTAAATTCAAAGTCCTCGATTGTTGAACCAATTTATTGGGAATAGGGTTGATGGGAACGGAAGGTTTCTGAAGGTCTAACCTAGAAGGCGGAAATAATCATGAATGTCTGGATGAGGGAATGTGAGGTTGGTTTAAGAAAAAAAATAGCTCACGGTTTCTCATTGTCTTCTCGGTTCACTTTGGAATCGTTGGTATTCTCTTTTTGTAAATTTCTTTTCTTTTTACTGACCCTTTGCAATATTTTGAAGTGAATGCTTTTTCCCTACCAATAGAGATCGTTTAGAATCATGTAATTTGACGTATGTATACGCGCATCTTCCACATTCATACATACTCCTCTAGCTGTTTTTCTTTGTTGCGTGGAAATCGTTGAGATACAAGTTTTATGTCTCTTGCTTGGATAGTAATCAATAACGTATCTCGCGAACTCTGGTCGATGCGGGTTTAAAAGGGATGGGACGTATGGCTTATGACGATGTTCAATCGGGAATTTACTTTTTCCTTGTTGAAATCATAAATGTTTTTTTTTTTTTAAAAAAAAAAAGGCGCAATTGTTGTAATGACTTCACTTCTCAACAAATGAACTCACTGGATTGTATTAAAGATCGTTTCGTTTTCGACAAGATTTCCAAATTTTCAGGAATATAAGATTGAAATCGGAATTTTTTTCTGCTACTTAATTTATAAAAGCACGTGCAGATCATGTGAGTACGAAGCGTTCGTTCAAGAAAGTGCATTGATTCGTACCTTTCCTCACGAAACACGGGCACCTCGCGAACCTTGAATCCCACGCCAATCAAAAAAACGATATGCAAATAAATGATGCATAGATTTCGTGTTATCAAATTTTTTATTCTCTTTAGCGCAGCAGATATATCTGGATTTATCGATTTGTCATGATTCCGTAGAATCGTCTCGATTTTTTTTTTATAACACCTTGCCACCTTGTATGTTTCGCAAGCAACGCGAATCAAAATGTAAAAAGTTGCCAGATATGCTGCGAGCGAAAGTGATTTTGAAAACAAAAAAATCAAAGAACTCTTTTCGTTTTGAAAGAGCATGTTCAAAATGGTTAAAAAAAAAAAGTAAGAGTGCGAGTTAGAAAAGATCGAATAATAAAGTTTTCCTCGGCGCATTTTTTTTTTTTTTTTTTTAGCACTTGTTAATCGTCCAATCGGAATAATCTCTGATGGAAACTCACGTACACGTGGCCATTGGAAGGTACAATATTCAAAGCTTACTGAATTGTCAAATTAACACTCTGGCCACATTTGGAATCTTTAAAGTTTGTTAAATACGTAACTTTACTAACACGTGACAAGATCGATGTCGTTCAGAAAATATTATGTAATGGATTATCTCGAATTTTTTCAATCCCGGCAATCTTTGTAAAAAGGAATAGAGAAATTATGGGTGTAACTTTACAGGAACCACTGGAGATTGAACAAAAAATCATTGCCATTGAGAATCCAAACAGTCTGTTTAAAGTTGGCGCCACCATACCCGTGGAAATTGAAGTAAAAACATCACGGACACGACCAACTGACAGAATTGAGAACGGAAAATTTTTTCAAAAGAATGGAAGGAATCCGAAAAAATTGGAAAGAAACGGAGAAAGTGGCAAAGATGTTGGTGAGACAAGTGACAGTGAGGATAGCAGTAGTGAGAAAGAGAAGGTTCGAGAGTTGATGAGTGATGTTGAGGAATTGGCGAAAAGCGAAGATGGCGAGAATTCTTCTACAAATGAAGAGGATGATAAAAATGATGAATTTGCAGAAAAGGTTCTTGTTACACGTCAGGGATTCGGTGTCACCTTATATAATGCAAGTATTCTCTGGTCATAAGAAGAGAAAATTATGCTGATCGATCTGACGAGTTCTATGCATCTAAAATTGATTCATCAGGCCTCTGGACGCCAGCTACTGAATTGGCCTATTCCGCCTCAGTACACCTCGGTTGCACCAGCAAAGTGTTTAATAAAGGGTGGCAAGTGCCAAGTGTATGTTGTTGTTCGTGAAAGCTCACGAGAAAGCCCGAACATAATCTGGTCGTGGCAAGACATTTATCCATCGTTTAGCGTAACGGGCCTTCAAGACAACACCGATACCATAAAAAAAAAAGTGCGTTTGTTGTTTCAGATCCATGTTAAATTTCTTTGTTAACTTTAACTTGATCTTTTCTTTCTTTTTTTATAATCACCCTCGAAGGTTAGAGAATATAAGAAATCAATATTTGCACTGGAAATATCCCCGCTTCTAGCGGAAGCGATTATTTTGATAAATCTAGATGGTTCGATTTCCCTGGTCGATGCGAATCTGAAGAGCGAGATGTCGATTTGTCGTATTAAAGAAAAAACGTAATTTTCTCTTTTCATTTTTTGCCATATATATATATATATATATATATATATTTTCCTTCTTCTAAATGAACTCTTTCTTCTCCTGATAATGATCATATAGGCATAAGAGAGTTTATTGGTCAACTGTGTTCGACTCAGCCGGCTCCTTCATTCCTTCAAATTTATTACCGGAAACGTCAATAATAGTTTTTACAATTTTGTCATCAAGATCGGAGACACAGGATGCATTATCCCCAATTTTCTTTGAGTTGAGGTTCTTTTGGGTAGATACTCGGGAAAATCGGTGCGAAGTACTTTGCAGTACACAGTTCCAGATGGTATATATTTCAACCGTCAACAACCTTATTCCAAATGCACCATATATATAATTAATCATTCTGTTGTTTCCCGCAGAGTTTGTCTTCGACGTTCAATTTCAATCCATCCACTGGAAAATTATTTCTATTATGTAAAGTAATTATTAAGCATCTCCTCCAAATTGACGTTGAGAATAGTTGTGTTAACTAGTGTGGGTTAAATTGTGCAGTTTCCCACGGTGTGCTGAAAATATACACAATCAATTTTAGCTGGAAGGAATCCGGGTCAAATATATCGTTGTCAGAGAATATCACTATTCAATTAGGTGGAACCTTGTTACTTCCCGAAAAGTCGCGTTTTGCGTTGCACGAAAGACACGCTATTGAAATCACTCCACTGTCAGAGTCATATGTGGCACTTGTGGGAATGCGGAAGACTCCTGAATCAGGTAAAAAAAAAAAAAAAAAAAAATTTTTTTTTTTGCATGTTGTGAAGGCAGGACACAGTAAATTAACGTTTTTTAAACTCAAGTTGAACAAATTTTGACCGTGTGGGATGTTCAGTACGGGACGTTACAAGCCGATCGAGTGATTAGTAGGGCTGGTTTAAGTGGGCAGGTCAACAATGAAACGATATCACCTTACCAATTTCGGGTAAATTTTCGCAATATTGCAGAGGAGATATACCTTTTTTTTTTCTTTTTTTTTTTTGAAATTATTAATTAAAAATATTATACCCTTTATATCAGCTTACCGTTGAACTCCAACACAATTTTATAGTGTCATCACTCTGTGAATTAGTTCCCGGAAAGGTGAACTCTTTTAGGTTATCAAACTATATCTGCCGGTATAGTTGTGAACAAATGACTTTATTGAATGCACTGAATCGCATGGATTCTACGGCAAAATATCGGCACTTTTGTGAAGGAGAAAGTCAAGATATTGGCATAACAAGATTCAAATCTTATCCCAAAACAGAAAATGTTTGTGTCTCATTCTAATCATTATTATTTGTATCCATCTCGAATTCTTGTTTACCACGTTCGCCATATCTTAAAACTTTTATACAGCCGAAAAATTCCGTTGATCTATTTCAGAATGCGAAACTGCTACAGAAGAAAGAATCCAAATTTCTTCGGGAACTTCTGGACACCTCGAAAACTCCAACGCCACGAGAATTTGTCCGGAGGTTTAGGGAATACGTGACGAATAGGGATCGGAAGGATTTTCAATATTTCTTGGAGGAAAAAGTTGGTGTCAATTTTGAGGAGTACACAAAGCACTTGACGGAATATAGGACAACAAAAAATATTTGTGTTCCTAAGAAAGAATCCAACCGTAGATGGAGAAGAGAATTCGAAAGGGGAGGAAATGATTCCGAGGATCATGAAGAAGCAATGAATTTACAAGAATGGAAGGAATTATGGAAGGAATGGGAGTCCAAGAAGGAGGAAGAAAGAAAATCAGAGTGTACCAAAGGAAAGTTGTATGAATTCCTTATAGTGAGTATTGATCTTTTTTGTTTACATTTTTGTACCTTCTTCTTCTTTGACCGCTTGTATATTAATCGTCAACTTTTTTGTACATTCAGTCAAAAGAAAAAATCATTCCAGAATTGTCATATTATTTTATTCAAACTATTGTTGAACATTGTATATCGCAATATCCGGATGGTAAGCCCAATATGACATTTTGGGTACCAGAAGTCATACGTTACTTTATTCAAAAAGACATGTTGTCAAACAGTGTTGTGAAAGGCGGAATCGTTAAGGCATTGATAGATCGAGAGGAGTGGGTATGCATGCTAATTCTATTTCTATTACTGAATTTTCTCAAAATTTCCTACCATAAATGGTATTCTTAAATTCCAAATTTTACTTTTCACCGATCGACAATGGCAGAACATGCTTAAACTAGCACTTTTGTACGTTCCAGACATTCCCGAGAGGGATCTAATATACCTGCTAAAGTTCATAATCGGAAAGGGCGGTGTAATAAAGGAAAATGTTACGTCTTCTAGAATAGTCGAGAAAGAAAATTTGTCCATTGAAAATGCGCTCTTATTGGTTATTCATGCCCCGCGAAATGATAATATGATGAGATGGAATATAAAACAATTGACGGAAAATGAGTTATCTGTGATACTGAGAATTTTATACGAGTGGAGTGAGAAACATAATCTCACGGAAATTATGGCCGATTTTATGAGCGAGAAACCTGACGTAGACGTTGAAATTTTTGAAAAATCATCCAAACGATCGCCAATTATTAAGCTCAAGAAGCTCAAGAAAACAATGGAATTTCGTAATGTAAGAATTCTGTCTCCGATTTTTAAAATCTTTTGAATTATATTCATCTTAGTACTATTCTGACTAATCATCATCTAGATCGTCGACTTCCTAACGCTCATTTTGGATATACACTTCTCATCATTCATTATGAATCATCAACTGCATCCGCTTCTTAATAAGTTATCAGAACGCATAGCTTACGAGGTGAAATTTTTCGAATCCCTGGAATCCATGAGATCATGTCTCAAACTTTATCACAACAAACACCTCAGGAACGAGCATTTAATCAACGAGGACGAATACAGGAAAAAGTCGAATGTTCTCGCGAGAGGTGCCGATCTACCAGAATATACTGTAGAATTGTTTACGTTTTTTGGCGACAACAACGGTGAGATTAGTAACCTGAGAATAGAAGAAATTGGGAGGACGGATGAAAGTATAATTAGAAATGGCGTCTCGATTTCGAGTTCTGCTCATGTGATAAATGGGGGTGTGTATCATGGAGATATGGATGTTGATGCCGCAATTGACGATGAAAGAGTGGAATTTGAAAATGGTCAAGTCTCAAAAGTCGTTCACGGTAGCAACGGCATAGAACATGAATCGGACTAAGGGTGAATTTGATTTGGTGATTTTCTCTTTTTCTCTTGCTATTTTACTAGGTAATTTTTTCTTTAAGATATGCGAAGTAGCACACCTCAGCATTCATGGAAACTGGTTTGCTCCTCTCGATTACTTTTTATTTAAATAAACACGTGTGGAGTATTAGCGAGATAGCAATTACACGATAGTCTTTATTTTTCCAATTGCCATTTGTTGACCGAACAATAAAAAAAAAACACCGCATTTTTCAAGGTAGTTTAGTTTCATAATTATATATATGAACATTAATAGCAGAATTCGTGATGAATATAGGGGAGAAATTAAGTAAGTTAATACGAAAAATGATTTCTTCATTATTCAACCTATGCTTTTTTACGAATGATGTTCTACCCAGAATCAATTGCAATTTCTTTTTTATACAGTAAATTCAATGATTTCTTATCACAACAAACAACTCTTGAAATTATACTTTAAGTTATTTTAAAAAAAGTATTAAGACTTTATTAATAAAGAAATAAAAAAATTTTTTGTAAATCTTTTTATATATAATTAAAGAATTAGTAAAAAAAATTTATTTAAAAATATTTATATAGAATATATATATGATAGTTCACAAAAATTATGCACCATTAAAAATTTAAATATCAAATTTGATTAATAAATAATAATTAGTATTTAAGAATAATCAATCAAAATTAAAATTGATAATCTGTAAAATATGTATTTTTTGTTTTTAATTATGTTCTTGATTTTTTGAAAATCAAATTTATTAAAAACAAGATTACTAAATTATTTTAAAAATACAAAATTAATAAAATAACTTAAGTTGAATTCAAATTTTGTTACAAAGATAAAAATCAAATTATAATATTCTATTACATAAAAACATTAGAAGTTAAAATATTTTATTTATATAGATAAAAATAAATAAAAAAAAATAAATATATATACAGCATATATATATATATATATTAATAAAGTCTTTGAACAAAAAAAAAACTCTTTCCGCTGATCCTCTGACCACACACAAAAAAAAATGTTCGCAAGAAGTTTTATACTTCTTTGCTAATAAAGTCTTTACACTTTTATTAAAACAATTTGAAGCTTGTCTTTATATATCTCCTTTACCTTCCTTTACTTGTTTATAAACTCCTTTAAATAAAAACTTGAGCCTCTAGTGGCCTGAAAAGACTCAAGTATGCACTTCCTCTACTAAGGGTAAGAAGGTTCTAGGAAGTAAAAAGATTGACAAGTGAAGTGTCACCTTACAGAGCTAGAAGTGACAACAATAGAGGTTTTGTTGGTAGGAGAAGGCTTATTATCCACCTTCTTATATACTGTCTTATACCTTCTTAAAGTATCTACTATTTTTCACAGTTTTCTTGGAAGATTTTGTCTACCTCAGTTTGATCCTGAATTTCTGGTAGCACAATGTCACCTGGCTTCTGATTGGTTGACATAAAACACGTTAGTAACTGAATGTAAACAAGCTCCTATTGATCACCCACGTGTCTCGATGATGTCATTGGTGATAGAAAGAGTTGATTGGGGCTTTATATCCACCTCACTCCTCCAATTGGGTTAACCTACAGATCAAGTTCCATGAGGCCAATAAGATACGAGCAACAAGTTCCCAGGTGGTGAAAAAGCTGCTATTTGTTCAAGCTTAGGTCTTTCTCTCCTATCATTCCGGTCAAGCAAAGTTCAAGACCAAGGTCTCCCTCTTATCCCAGTCAGGCAATAAGACCAAACGGTCTCTAGTCCATGCTAAGCTCCAATCCTTTGGTTACAGTTGAGAATGCATTTCCCCAGAAGTTGTTGAAGGATATCACAATTGATGAGGATCCCTACCACTTTGCAAACCCTTTCACTATTACAAGACAAAAGGATTGTTGAGGAATCTGATCTTTTGGGTAATAGAAGATGTACACCAGTAAAATTCCTTTAATTAGGTATAGCTGTTAGAAGATATTACACTGAAACAACAAGACCCAATTCCTACTAGGTTACATAAGAATCTGGGGTCCATCATAATCACCCTTTCATCACAGGGGGATAAAAAATCACTGCCCAAAGAAAGTCGGGACCAAGTATATCCTGGAAATAAAGGCTTCCATTAGATGATAAGTCTCTTCAGACGGTACACAAGAAGGAAATCAAAATCAAGAATGGATAAGTTTTTCAGATGGTCAGGAAAAGAAAGGATATCCCGATCGAGCATTTTTTATTAAGAAGAGGTCTTGAGAAGCAGTTCTTTGGAGGAAACTGGAAATATTTTTTTTTTCAATTTCATTTTTTCATTTTCTTGTTAGTCTACTTAGACATTTTTAGATATCCCCTCTCCCTTTTTTTTTCAATCCATCTTTTTGTAGTTTCCTGTATTCCAGCAGCTTGATCAGATATACGATAGTGACAACCTGTTGGCAATAATATAGTGGACTAGAAGGGTCTTCACCCAAAGATACTGCAGAGTGAAATATTGTTTCCAAGGCCGAACTTAGAGAATTTTATGTTTATGACAAGTTAGTTAGATTAGAATAATAGTTTAGCTGTAGTATATATCATGCTGCTCGAATGAAAATACACTTTTGTCTTTATTTGATTAATAAACTGACGATCTAGCTTGGCTACGAGTATACAAAAAAAAAAAAATTATATTAATAGAGTTCACTTAATTGAAATAAAAAAATCTTTACAAAAACTTTGTCTAATTAAAATAGAAACTTGAAGATCTCAACTTTCTTTTTGGAAAGTCTTTTCACTACCTAAGGGATTTAATTAAAAGATATAGATACTATGTTTTATATTCTTCAATTGTCTTTTAGTATTATAGCTATCTTCCTTAAGAACTTATTCAGTTTAAGAATATCTTTTTTATAGACTTTTCTTTTCAATTATCAATGACATTATTAGAACATATTAATATAATCAAAGAAGCCTATTTATATTTCAAAAAATGATATATTTTATATCAGTCAAAATTATTCTAATAAAAATATTAAAACTTTATTAGTAAAAAGTATAAAAACTTCTTGTAAACATCTTTTTTGCATGTGATTAGAGAATTGATAGAAAGAAATTTTTTTTTGAATTAATATTATATAAATAATAATAATTATTATTTATAATATTAAACAACTTTTTTTTATTAAAAAATTAATAAAAAAACTTTTTAATAATTTATTTTTTTAAACAATTTTTTCTTTTTTAATTATTTCTTAAAAAAAAACAAAATAATCAAAATTTAAAATATATTTAAAAGAATAACAATTATATAAATTTTTTAAAAAACTTATAAAAATAAAATAAATCAATAATAATATTTACTTCATTCAAACTTTTGACAAAAAAAAAAAAACAAATCAAAAAATTTAAATTATAGTAAAATCAAAAAATTTAATATTAACTTTTTTAATGTTTAAGTAGATTAATATACAATAAATTAATATCTTTTTAGATATTAAAAAAAACTTAATATATAATATGAGATTTCTTTTTTTTGACTGGCATAATCTTGTTTTATTATTTTTTTCAAATTACATTTGTATAAAATGGCTATAACTAATAGTACAGAAATATGTATTCAGCAATAGTAAAACTCAATAAGCTATATACTATTTTGGAACCTGTTGCCCTTTCCTTTTAGAGGAAAAAACTAATATATTAAGGTTATACTAGTTGTTATATAAAATGATAAAATGGTGAAAATGTTAGTTTGATATTTTATATATTTATTTACATAACTATTTATTATTTTAGTTAGGTTTAAGAAAGATTGTTGTATTGTGATTGGATCCATATAGTTATAATATGTAATAATTATATTTGAAAATTTTTAAAATATTATTTATCAAAGTTTATTTAATAAATTTGTTATAAAATTCTATTTTAAAATAAAAAATACTATTTTAATAAATTTTATAAAAAATTATATATAATATTTTTAAACCTTTTTCTTTTTAATTTAATTTTTTTAATATAATTAATTAAATAATTTGAATAAAAACTTTTTTTATTGATAAAGCTATAAATTTTTAAATTTATATATTTGTTTTTAATAATTTTATATATTCAAATTTTTTTCTTTTAATACAAAGTGATAAATTACTTCCAAAGTTGCACTTAGAAGGGTAAAATAATCTAGATAAGTGAGTTAGTTAAAGAATTAGTTTTAGTGTCTCATATTATATGTATAACTTACAAATGTTTAATAAAGCATATGTAACTAGCCTGACAGAGGGCAAAAAAAAAAAAAAAAATTTTTTTCTTTTAATATAGTCATGAGAGCCCTTAAATATAAGAAGATAGTGGACAAACAAGCTCTCTATATTCTAAATAGAGTATTAATATCTAAAATAGAATTCAGAATGCAACATAGTATATTGTCCTGGAAAATATGCAATATCCTGACAACAGTATATAAAAAACTTTTCAAGAATAAGAGTGGTTTGTGCAGATCTATGCCCAACAGTGTAATTCACCATCCAAAGATTTATAATTTGAAAAATATTTGGATATTACAAAGAAAAAGTCAAGTAATAGGACTTTGCAATAGATTAAATGATTCTAGACCAGCAAGAATCACATCAATTATTAGACTCAAACAAGCCCAGATCAAAAATTGGGAACCGCTTAATTTATTAATCTATAAATCCTTAAGTCACTTAACAGATAAAGGCAACTTTACACTTCAAATAACCAGAATTGCTAAAAATATGGAAATAATATTTTATAGTTGAAAATGGCAAGATATTTTTGAATAGAAAAAGGGAAATATTTGGATCGAAGAATATCTTACATCAGAAGAATATAAAAAAATCATACCATCACTCAAAAACAATCGACTGATATATCTGAACCAGTTGATCAATCAGGAAACTAAAAAAATAAGAGACTGGTGAATGCTTTAGCTCCTACAAGATACAAGCAAAGGACCTATACCAGAATGGTTCCAAATTATACCCTAAAATCTCTCAGAAGCATAACTAAAGCAGCTCATAAGATCCTGG